TATTTTTAAGGTTCTCATTTATTCTTTTATTTTTTTTTTATTTTTTAAGTTTTTTATTTATTTTGAGAGAGAGTGAGAGCACAAGGGGAAAGGGCAGAGAGGAGAAACAGAATCCTAAGAGCCTGCGCAGAGCCCAATGTGGGGCTGGAACTCATGAACCGTGAGATCATGACCCAAGCCAAGATCAAGAGTAGGACACTTAGCCGACTGTGCCACCCAAGTGCCCCTAAAGTTCCCATTCATGTAAATGTGCTCAAGGGTTCCAGGCTCTTAGAGTCTCCCCACAGATAAATTGCAGACATGACTTACTGGATGCTTCAAGAGGATGAATGCTGAAGGAATGCACTTTGGTGGGATCCTCATGATTTTCACTTATATTTTAACTATTATTAAGAGGAGAGTTCAAATAACACAGAAACATTGTATTTTACTAAAATTGACAAAAGGCTTATATATTAAGTTTTAGGGAAATCGGCATGATTGCTTTATGCAGTTTTATCTTGAATGTAGATTTTCATTATGTGAAAAGTGCTAACATTCCTGTGGCTTTATTTTCTCCACCACAGTGTGACAAACGGGATCCAGATGGCATCCGAGTGGCTCCAGTTCCTCTCTACAACTCTTTTCATGATGTTTATAAGTTTATCAATCTACTTGCTTCTGCGCTTGACTCTGCAGAAACCAAAAATACCAGTGTTCTCTAGAACAACTTAAGTAGTACTAAGAGCTACTATATTTTATTATTTTTGTTCTTATTTTAATAATTGGAAATTTTTTCAAAACCAATTGCACATAACTGGCAATGAATCATTTAGTTTACAGAAAGATCTGATATATTTTCTCTAAATGTCTGGGGTTCTGAGGTATCCACATGTCTGTTCAATTTCTCCATGCGTGGTGGATCAAAGTTTTCATTGGTCCAAGTATTATGTATACAGTCTTAGCTAGCTGTCACATTTCATGGTCAGTGAATGTTTTATGCTGATTTAATTTATAATTTGACTGACAACTTCATAATATATGTGCAATTTTTTGTGTCAATTTTAGAAATGTCGCTTTAGTTTTAATTTACCAAAGAGGTTCTTATAGTCACTGTAATTTCACAGTCTGATATATGTATGATTTTGCAGTATTCCATCCAACTCTAATCTAAAGAACAGAAAATACATTTTCTAGGGTAGTAGCTTTCAAATATTTTGACCACAGTCCACACTAAGAAATATGTTTAATATCAGATACCAGTATTTATATGTGTTTATGTCTTATTTTATTGATTCTAATATACAAACTTTTATCATATTTCAACATCTGTGAAAGAAGAATTTTTTCAATTTTCAATCAATGATTCTTACATTGCTACTGACCACTCTTTCATGTTACCATCCTTGACATTAGCACGCTTCTCACAATGAATAGATAGCATCTTAGATACGATATTTTTTAATGGTATGTATACCAAAAGCAAAAGTTTCATAAATCATTAGTGCTCTGCTATTTATTATTCATTTTATCTCATCACATCAAATTCTGGTTGAAACTCATTGAACCTATTTGCCCACTGACTCTTGGATCCTAATTCATTTTTCAAGGTTGTCCCTTTTTCTAATGTTATCACTATTGCTTTTTTGTTTGTTTGTTTGTTTTAATGGGAACCTCTCTTAATAGAAGGCTATTTTTTAAAGAGTTTATTTATTTATTTTGAGAGAAAGAGATAGACAGTGTGAGTGGAGGAGGGGCAGAGAGAGAGAGCAAGGGAGAGAATCCCAAGCAGGCTCCACACTGTCAGCTCACCTCCTGATGTGGGGATCGATCTCCCAAACAAGGAGATCATGACCTGAGCCAAAATCAAGAGTCAGGACACTTAATGGACCAAGCCACCCAGGTCAACCCTCCACCCCCCATAGAAAATGTTACTCTGTCTCTGAAACAGTGAAATAAATCACCCCAAGATATTGGCAATTGAGAATTAGAATTAGCAAATGAGAGCTTCATCTCTCAACCTCTAACCCAAATCTATGGCCCTTTCTTTCCTCCAGGAAAACTACAGTTACACTCAGCCCTGTTGGACTTCCCTGGTTTTCAGTTGTTGATACTGCAACCACTACTCATGAATTGGCAAAACAGTCTACATTTATATACATGGGCAGCAAGAAAGAGTGACTGCAATGTAATCATTGTCCCTGATGAACAAATTTGAATGGAAATAACTTACACAACCGCTAGAGTTAAATAAAAAGATGCAGGACAGACACCAATGCCAGCAACTATTGATATTTATTGAATAGTCACCACGTACCATGTATTGTGCTAATCTAGTTATACATTATCTTACTTATTTGAGTGGTTGCATAACTGCTTTAGCAAAGCTGCCGCCTCCAACTTTTGGCAAAACTCATCTTTGTGGATGGAAAAGTTCTCAAAACCCTAAAATTCGACTATATACAACTTCATGTAGGAGAAATCGTTGTGAAGCTCACAGATGTAAGCAAAACAGACATGGTTTCAGCTCTCAGGGAGCATGTAGCTTAGTGGGAGAAATGGGTAGTAAATATATAAACACCCAAATAAACATATGATTACAAACTGTAAGTTTTATGAAAGAAAAACAGATGATACTGTAAGAAAAATCTCAAGGGTATTAATTAGATGGTCAAGTAAGGGGAGGTATATGGTAGTGCTTATAACTTTAAATTCTAAAATATCAGGCTAATCACATTAAAATTGCATCAAGTTATACATACAAACCATTTAAAGCATACTCAGCACTATGTCATGCGGGTTAAGAAACAAAGCATCAGAAATTCCCTTTCTCCCTGCTTGCATTCCCATTTCTCCCCAAATCCGGATTTAACCATCAAATCATATTTCGTGTTAACCATTTCCTTACTTCCATTGAAGTATTACACCTATGTATGCACCATAAAATATACATTAGCTGATTTTGCCCGTGTGTGAACTTCATGTAAATTTAATTGTGTTGTTTATATTCTGCCTCCTTTGCTCAGTGTCAGGTTTTTGAGATTTATCCATTTTCATCCATTTTCATTGCTGCTCAGTGTTCTCGTATATATTTGGGGTTATTAGTTTATTCTACTACTAGTGAACATTTGAATTCTTCCCAATGTCTTTAATATTGCAACAATGCCGCTACTAACATTCTTGGTACGCAGATTCAAAAGTTTGCCCAGGACATAATAACTGTGAAAACGTCAGGTCAAAGGACCCACACCTGTTCAACTTCACTAAGAAGTAGCAAACTCTTTTCCAAACTAGTTGTACCAGTTTCCATTGCAACCAATAGGAAATGGGAGATCTCTTCTCTCAATCCTTGCCGATAGTAGCTGTTGATTGATTGCCTTTGTTACATATGCAGACTTACATAGCCAGGGTGATTACTAAAATAACAGAAAGAATGTTATTCAGTAGAACAGAATGAATGTTCTACTTCAACACAAGTAGAAGGAGAAACAGAATGAGGAGATACACATACACTGCTGTTTATGCTTCAGAAACCATCCTTCATCTATGGATTGAGACAAGACTAGAGTATTACCTGACTTTTACCCTTGCTCAGCACTTTCCCTCCCCATATTCCCTCTTTCATAGTTTTTTCTGATGAGCATTCTTTCAAAAAAAAACATATTAATTCAAACATTGCTCTTTATTTCTAGGAAACCCAATTTAACAACGCATTGCCTTCAACTAGTGCTAATAACCATAAGCCTTTTATAGTCCTATATTCAATGTCTGATAAATTTCAGTTCTGTTTCTGTTGTTTTTCACAAATAATACTTGTTTCCTTGTGTATATTGTGCTTGTTAACTTTAACCTACTCATTTATATTGACTCCTTTGGAATTCTTTGAGAACTGTGTTAAAAGTCTTTCCAAAGATACTCATTTTTGGTTCTGCCAATTTCTCAGGGTCATTTCTGACACCAAAACACTTAAAATTTTTGTTTTCAGGTTTTTCAGATCACATGGATAGTATGAAATTGGATGTATTAATCCTTTTGAGGGCCGATTTATAGTTACAAACTCTCTGAAGATACTAATTTTTCTTGCTGACCTTTTACATGTTGTTTGGTTGCCAACATTTTAGAGGGCTCTTCCACCAGTTTATTTATGTGGTCGGTTCTAAACTTGTTCAATGTCCCATTTAGTTATCAGCACTGAAGCTCAATCACTCTAGGATGTGGCAGACACTTGTAGGATGCAACACATACTTTTACTTTCTAGGTTTCTTTTTTTTTTTTTTTAATTTTTTTTTTTTCAACGTTTACTTATTTTTAGAACAGAGAGAGACAGAGCATGAACGGGGGAGGGGTAGAGAGAGGGAGACACAGAATCGGAAACAGGCTCCAGGCTCTGAGCCATCAGCCTAGGGGCCGACGCGGGGCTCGAACTCACGGAGCGCGAGATCGTGACCTGGCTGAAGTCGGACACTCAACCGACTGCGCCACCCAGGCGCCCCTCTAGGTTTCTGCTTTTATTTTATTTTGAGGTTTTTAAATTTTCTTACTTTCATGCCATCTCATTTTAAAAGGCTTTTTTTTTGCCATTGATTTTTATTTGTGTTTTCAATAATTTAATCCCCCACGATATGCTCTAAACTGTCATGAAATGTTTTATGACCAAAAAGGAAAAATATTATGCACTTTCTGTTTTCTCCATAGAAAGTGAATTGTGCTTCTTTTTTTTTTTTTTAATTTTTTTTTTCAACGTTTATTTATTTTGGGGACAGAGAGAGACAAAGCATGAACGGGGGAGGGGCAGAGAGAGAGGGAGACACAGAATCGGAAGCAGGCTCCAGGCTCCGAGCCATCAGCCCAGAGCCCAACGCGGGGCTCGAACTCACGGACCGCGAGATCATGACCTGAGCTGAAGTCGGCCGCTTAACCGACTGAGCCACCCAGGTGCCCCAAAATTTTTTTTAACGTTTATTTATTTTTGAGACAGAGAGAGACAGAGCATGAACGGGGGTGGGGGTGCAGAGAGAGAGGGAGACACAGAATCGGAAGCAGGCTCCAGGCTCCGAGCCATCAGCCCAGAGCCCGACGCGGGGCTCGAACTCACGGACCGCGAGATCGTGACCTGGCTGAAGTCGGAAGCTTAACCGTCTCCGCCACCCAGGCGCCCCGAATTGTGCTTCTTAATAACTCATGCACATTTATATAAATACAATTCTTTTACAGTGATGCCCTTGGGAGTTATTGTACTACATAGAGCTGTTTGTGTAGCACTAAATTATACTTATTATACAAAACTGACTGTGGAAAAGGCTGGGTGTGAGGTCAACAACTAAATTTCAAATTAAAGAAGTAAACTTTTTCTACAGTTATTTTTTTCTCAGTAACTTTCTACTTACTGTTGTGTTCAAAATTATGTGAGTTTATATTCAAATTGTGCTATGCGTTTTTTCCATAAATTGAAATTGCTAGAGCATTGATTTTGAAGTAAATGGGTTTTTGCATCATCTAAAGAAGGAAACCTGCAAACACCCTGAAAGCATCATATTATAAAGCACAACATTGGAAATCACTGGATTAAGGCATCCTGTAATTAAACTGATGGTTTTGATGCTTATGTGGGTCATTAGCATCTGTATTCCGTGTTTTCAAAATGTCAAATTTGTTTCCTGCCCTCTAGTAGCATTGTATTTTAATTTCAGCAAGATGTATTTTCTTATTTTTTTTTTTTAACATT